GCTGTTCACAGCCCAGTATTTAGACTTGAGAGGAGCAAGACGAATCCTACTTGCACAGTGATGTTCGTGATCGAAAGTAGAGCTCTAGAGGACCGGGAGACGAGTGGAAGCTGTCTGGCCTAGTGGACTCGTATCTACATCGGCATCCGGTCACGTGGCTTACGTAGCCGCAGCCGTGGTCGACTGCGCCGTGGGTCTTCAGGTCGACCATAAAGACGCCTGTCTCTAGCACTCAGACCCGACCACATCATCCACAAAACACAACCATGACCATTGTCGCAAAAGACGGCGCGTCGACTGACTCAGCATACGGCGACGATTCAAAGTCATCCTACGCGAGCTCTGTACGTATCCCTGATCTTGCCTCGGGTCAAACGCAAGCATGACGAGCTGAACATACCCAATAGAGTAGGGATCTACCTCCTCCTCAGGCAGACGGCCCAGGCCTTCCCTCGTACAACGAAAGTATAGCAGGCACATCCTCCCAAACACAAACTCCTACATCTGCCTTACCACCAGCTACCAACTTTGTCTACATCAACAACTCGAATGGTCCTGTTCATGGAACTTGGGTCGTCGACACTGACATGACTATTCCTTCCGCCCTCCTTCCACCTCTCGGTCTGTTTGGTAAAGCTGCAGACCGCCAGCATCTCCATTTAGCCACACAGATGGGTGAAGTAAAGGCCACTGTTGTCTTGACTGCAGGCTCGGCCACTCGGGCGAGGATTAGGATGGAGTCACAATGTGGAAAAATAATCGCTCAAATGGTGCGTATAACAGGGCATTAGCTTAGATGTTACGATGCTTATCACTGCTCTACCATAGATGTCTCGCGTCAATAGACAAGCATTTAGCCTCAAGGCCGTAACCCAGTATGGAGAGATGATAATCTGCATACCCAGAGACTACATTGGACCCATCAAATGTAAAAGTGGATGGGGAAAGATTGAATTTTCCGAAGCACTCCAGGCAAACGTGGTCAGCTTCTCGAGTGAGATGGCCTTTGTCGGCAACTGGAACACCTCTGGCTTTAATGACTACAAGACATGGGAAGGGGACGAGGTCGATGTCAAGACCCAGTGCGGAAATATTCGGTTCAAATATGCGGACGAGTTTGACCCGAATGCACCGACATTCAATGACTCGATACAGAAAATGTTCACCAGTACCATCCAGGGTATTTATAATATGTTCAATCAACGACAACGTTGATTTGGACCGTTTATTTCGACGGTCTCTCATCCTCTTAATTCCTCTCCTATATCGCCATGGTCCGCGAGTCTTTACTTGGTCAACAGATCTCAAACATTCTCTCACTTTGCCTCGACTCATGAATTCCTGTATGAATCCATCTCATAAGCTCTTCGGAATGTATATATCTATTGTTTTTAACTTGACGTATTCCTTTCTCGCTATCCAGGGAAGGTAGTAACATAAAACGTGCTCTAAACTCTTATGATTGCATTCTCTGAAATGAAAGTACGTGGTCATATGAATGAAATGCTTGGTGTCGGCTACCTTACCAAGTTTTATAAATTTGGCAGGTTGTGAACAAAA